CATGACAGATGTTATGTCATGTTTATGACAGTGTCATGTCAGTCTTATGCACATCCCTTCAAATAAAGTGTTACCAAAATAAGTCTCTGTATTTTGATCACTGGATGGAAAAAGGTATTTGGTCCATAACACACTTCCTAATGACAATGGAGATTGGTTGTATGAGGAATTTTGCTTATAGTATAATCTGGACCACTTACTTACTCAGTTTAACACAGTATTGAACTCTATCCCTATTGCAGTCAAATATCTGGTTCAAAATTTAAGTATTCAATCAGCTAACCTTCAATTACTTGCACTTTAACTGTATGGAGTTAATCTTTTGGATAGAAGTAACGATATGTCAGCATTTAACTGATTTTACAGTTCCAGCTCGACCACATAGAAACTTAAATTTGTTTTCTGATTCAGAGGTTAGTAAGTGGAGAACTCCTTATCTTAAATACCTCTCAAGCTCTAAAGCTAAAAGGCAATCGAAACGTTTCCGCATTGTGGGACCATTTTGATCTGACATCGGAAAATAAAGTATTTGTTTTTATTTCGTTGTTGTTTCATCCGGTTCTTGTCAGTTTCTACTTGATCTATCTGAATCTAAATTCAGCTGAAATTGACTCTTAGTTTACTTTCATATTATGTTCTGCAGGTTAAGTGAAGCATTTGTTTAACTAAACTGTCTTATTTAAATAAATCCACCTCCTCAATGCTGAGGCATTATGAGGCCAGGCCTGAGAATGAAGTCCCAGATACACCAAGATAAACTCAGATATGCATCCATTCTACAAATTACTGTTACTTTTTATAAATTATTTCATATAAATGTATTGTATATTCATTTTTTTCTACAGCAGAAGTTATATCCAAAAAGTGTAACAGACAAAATTTCAAAATGTTGGAAAAACTTTTTTTTTAAATAAATTTGTGGAAAACATTAAAAAAAGAAAAGTAAAAACATCCATAAGCATTCTCATTCCAAGCACGTTCACTTAAATTGTCACTTTATGGTACATGTTCACATTATTTATTGACTGTATCCTAAGAATATCAAATATATTTTAAATTTAACTGAAGATATGACATAATACAATATATAATATACAATGACAAATCTTACTGTATTGACTAGATCAGGGGTGTCAAACTCAATTTCACCTATGGCCACTTCAGCATATTGGCCACCCTCAATGGGCTGCATTGACAGTACAAATCAGGAGTGGCCAGGTTCAGTCCTCTAGACTGCAACTTTTAGATGCATCCCTGCTAAACCACACCCAGACAAAAGGTTGCCTTCCCTCATTAGCAGCAACTCAGTTCTGTAGAGGCTTATAATGAGTCAATGATCCAGGTGTGTTAGAGAAGGAACACAACTAAAGTTGCAGATGGTAGCTCTGGAAAACTAGACTTGGGCACCATAAATGTATGAAAATACAATGTTAAAAATAAATTAAACAACGCCTCATATTGTTAAATAACTGATTTTATGTATTCAAGTTTTAAATATTACCTTTGAGTTTGCATGTATGTAAAATTGCTGCTCAGTTTAAAAATTACAATACTTAAATCAGTGTTTAAAGGTAAGCAAACATAAAAAGTTTTGATATAAACTCAATTTCATTCACAAAACTTTTTTTTTATTTATGGCACAACCAACATGTATTTCACATAAGAACAACAAAACAATTAAGTGATGTTGCCTGTCCTTGAACGCAAAGCTGATCCCTCTTCACCCCAACACCAACTCACAAACATCTTTATTCACAGGTCATGTTCTGTAAATAAACACAAAACAAAAGCAAAATCAATAAATTATATGCATATTCTTGTATACTTACTCTCGGTTTTACATACATTCATTCTATTTTAATTCAGTTTGTTCGTGCTTACCGATGTTTTCTGACTGGATGTCTGGCACCATTTTGCCCCGGTCAGTTCGTTGATGTCTGGTTTTAGTTCTTGTGTTGTGGCAATCCGCAAAACGGCTTGTAGGCTTTCGTCAGTAATGCGCAATCTATGCTTGGTCCTGTTTAAATTCATTATTGAAAACGTCTGTTCGCACAGATAGGTGCTTCCAAACATGGACAAAACACGAACTGCATGGAGTCGAAGCTGTGGCATTAAATCAGGGGACAGTAGACGGTAAAAGTTCTCAACTGAAACATCACAGAACCTCACTGTCGCTTTGAAGCTCAATTAACTCCATCTGAAGGCGGTGGGGCGCACTGCAGACATCGGCGGTGAAAGAATGGGCAAAGATGTCAAAACCAGAGTGCTGCGATTTAAAGTCAGAAAAGCGCCGATCAAACTCGTTTATTAACTGAGTTAGTTTGGTAACCGAGCACATGAAAAAGCACCGGGAGCTGAGGCCGAGATGATCCGACAAGCAGGAAAGTGGATGGGATTGTTTTGTTCCACCTGGCACTTACATAGGTCGAGTTTGCTGGAAAGCTGTGATCGTGTCAGACATCTGTGTGATGACTTGTTTACGTACTTGTAGTTTCTGATTTAGCTGAGCAAGATCTCTGAAAAAGATTTTGAAGCTCGGGCGATTTCTTCAGCCACAATAAAGCTTTCTTTCACCGCTGCATCATTTTTGACTGTGGCTGTTGGGAAGAGCGAGCCTATGTTGTGTACGCATCCACCTGAGAAATGTAGGACGTGTACTCCTTCACCTTCACGTGAGGGGGTGGAGGGCGACCCTGGAGACTGTTTAGCCAATCAGGATGCAGAACAAAATGCACTGTGAAAAAAACTGCACAAAAAAATCGTGAAGCAACGAGACCGCGAAAGGTGAACCGCGTTATAGCGAGGGATCACTGTACTGGTTTTTCACCTTCAAGTAGAAACAGGTATCCGTTTTCCCATCGTTCATTCACAGTCTTCCTTGTAAATCAATTTTTCTTTTCTTGGACATTTTGATGTTAGCTTGTCGATGTCTCAGTTTTATTTGCTGGGAAAATCAATA